TTGCCTTAAGAAACCCACATACACACGTTATACCACACATTAACACGCCACAAAAATGTGCAATCGGCCAGTTCCAAAATGCTGGAAATTCTAGTGGAAAAAAAATGACCCTGATTTTTCTGCAAATAAATGACATGGAAAAAAGGTCTACTCTGGCTGCTGTAACAAAATGCCATAGACTGTGTAGCTTCAACAACAGACATTTATTCGTCCTAATTCTAGAGGCGGAGGAGTCCCAACAATCTGATTCGATTCCTGTGAGGACCCCTCCTTGGTCTGCAAACAGCCATCAAATTGCTGTGTCGTCGTCTTTTTTTTTTTTTGCAAGGGGGATAAACAGATACATTTTGCCTGTAAAGACTTTTTTTTTCAACATTTTATTTATTTTTGAGAGAGAGAGAGAGAGAGAGAGCGCGCACAAGTGGGGGAGGGGCAGAGAGAGAGAGGGAGACACAGAATCCTAAGCAGGCTCCAGGCTCTGAGCTGTCAGCACAGAGCCCTATGCCAGGCTCGAACTCACAAACCCTGAGATCAGGACCTGAGGTGAAGTTGGATGCTTAAATGACTGAACCACCCAGGTGCCCCAGATTGCTGTGTCTTCACATGGCTGGGGAGAGAGGGTTGTGGTCTCTTCCTCCTCCTCCTGTAAGGGCACGGATCCCATCGTGGGGGCTCTACCCTCATGACCTCGTCTCAACCTAATCACTTCCCCAAAGCCCCACCTCCACATTTCATCCCGCTGCGGATTAGGCCTTTCACACTCGACTTCCTGACTTCCGGGGGGACCCAAACATTCAGTCTATAGCAGAGAGGACTGTGCAAGGACACTTGAGGGACCTAGGAACCAAATACAGCGTCGGCCTGGGCTAAGTCATTCTTGAGATACCAAATTGAGTATTATTAATAATGGTTTTCTTAGATGTGACAAGGTTATTGTGCTTATGCTAAAAATAATCCCTATTTAATAAACATATTGCATTAACTATGGGTAAAATTATATGTCTGAGATTTGCTTGACAGTACTCAGGAAAAACACTGAGGAAGATAGACAAAACAAAGGGACAAAACATTGACTCTGGGTGATGCATATATGGGTATCGTTATACTATTGTTTGCATGTGTGTCTGAATATGTCCATAATTTTTTGAAGGTAGAGTGTGCCTATTTGCAATAAGTCAGCTATTTCAAATATCCTGAATGAAAAAAAGCCAATTTCAAAAGATCACATGCTGTAGGATTCCATTTATATAATTTCCAAATGACAAAATTATAGAAATGTGAGAATAGACCAGTGATTGCCAGAGTCATTAAGGATGGCAGGGGGGTGGGAAGGTTGGGGGGAGGGGAGAAAGGTGTGGCTATAGAGGTATAGCAAAGAGGAGGTCTTTGTGGTGTATCTGGATCTTAGTGGTGGTTACATGGGATAAAATGGCACAGAACACAAACTGTGCCAAAATCAACATCTTGGTGTTGCCATTGTACTGTAATTACGTAAGATGTTACCATTGGAGGAAACTGGGTGAAAGGTATATGGGACTTATCTGTACTTTCGGAACTTTCTGTGAGTTTATAACTTCAAAATTGTAAGTTTAAAAATGTATCAAAATTGGGGCATCTGGCTGGCTCAGTCTGTAGAGCATGTGACTCTTGATCTTGGGGTTGTGACTTCGAACCCCACATTGGGTGTAGAGATTGCTTAAAAATAAAATCTAAGGGGCACCTGGGTGGCTCAGCTGGTTGAGCATCCAACTTCGGCTCACGTCATGATCTCGAGGTTCGTGAGTTCGAGCCCCGGGTCAGGCTCTGTGCTGACAGCTCAGAGCCTGGAGCCTGCTTTGGATTCTGTGTCTCCCTCTCGCTCTGCCTCTCTCAAAAATAGACATGAAAAAACATTTTAATAAACTAAAATAAAATCTTAAAAAAAATACATCAAAATTTGTAATAATTAAAATAATATAGTTCCGGTATAATAGATCAATGAAACAAAATATGGACAAGAATAAGACCTTACTGGGGTGCCTGGGGGGGCTCCATCAGTTGAGCGTCTGACTTCGGCTCGGGTCACGATCTCTCAATTTGTGAGTTCAGGCCCTGTGTCAGGCTCTGTGCTGACAGCTCGGAGCCTGGAGCCTGCTTCACATCCTGTGTCTCCCTCTCTCTGCCCCTCCCCTGCTCATGCCCTGTCTCTGTCTCTCTCTGTCTCAAAAAATAAACATTAAAAAGAAAAAGAAAAAAAAAAAGACCTTACTATGAGTGTGTGTGTATAAAATTAGCACCAAAAATAAGTGGCAAAGGAAGAATTATACAATAAATTATGCTAGAAGAATTGCTTACCATTTTAAGGGAAAGCTCATGTTGAATTTTAACTTCCTGCTATGTGCTCAGAGAAATTCCAGCTAGGGGAGAGTGAATATAAGAAGTGACTACAGGGGCGCCTTGGGGGCCCCAGTCATTAGGCAACTGGTTCTTGGTATCGGCTCAGGTCATGATCTCACGGCTTTGTGGGTTCGAGCCCCGCTTTGGGCTCTGCGCTGCCAGCACAGAGCCTGCTTGGGATTCTCTCTCTCTCCCTCTGCCCATCCCCTACTTGTGCAGTCTCTCTCAAAATAAATAAACTTTAAAACAAAGAACAGAGGGGCGCCTGGGTGGCTCAGTTGGTTAAGCGTCCAACTTCGGCTCAGGTCACAATCTCGCGGTCCGTGAGTTCGAGCCCCGCGTCGGGCTCTGTGCTGACAGCTCAGAGCCTGGAGCCTGTTTCAGATTCTGTGTCTCCCTCTCTCTCTGACCCTCCCCCGTTCATGCTCTGACTCTCTCTGTCTCAAAAATAAATAAACGTTAAAAATAATAAAAAAAAAGAACAGAAATGACTACAAAAATAGGTACATTTTAATAGGAGTCCTCAGTGGGGATCATCTTTCTAAGAGTCAAAACAAAGACATTACAAAGAGATAACTGAAGAATCTGACTACGTTAAAAAGTAAAACATCTCCCCAAATCCTCTACAAACAAACGTAAAACAAATGGTAAGGTCAAAAAATATTTGCATCATATGAAAGGTCAAAGAATAACACACAACAGATCAAGTGCTCTGACGCATTGTTGATGGAAATACCGATTTTCCTGAAGACAACTTGGTAATGTGGTAGGCGGGATTCTCAGGCCCCAAGATCCCTGTCTGCCGGGAACAAGGCCTGTAGAATCCCTGCCCCTTGAATGTGGGCGGGGCCTGTGAAGAAGATGGGTGTTACTCCTGTGATCCCGTTAGTAATCCATTGGTTTTGACTTCAAATGGAGTTTATTCTGGGTCAGCCAGACCTAACTAGAGAAGCCTTTTTTAAAAAGTCAGTGTCAGGTGGCTGTGAAGAAGGAAGCTACCGTGTCAATCATATCTCAAAAGAATTTTTTTTTAAGCTGCCACATTGTGAGAGGAGCTGTGAGCAACCTCTACCAACGGCCAGCAAGAAAGCAGGGACGTCAGTCCCTCACCCATAAAGAACGAACCTCTAGCCAGTAGCCTGAATGAGTTTGGAAGGCCCCAGGCCCGCGAGAAGATCCAGTCTGGCTGACAGCTGATCGTAGCCTGGACTTAGGACCAACAGAATTGGGGATGACAGATACAGGTACTGTTTTAAGCCAGCCACTAAATTTGTGGTGATTTGTTAGACAGTAATTGAAAACTAGTACAGGTAATATGTATCAAGAGTCCTAAAAAAGATTCGTGTTCCTACGTGAAAACGTTTTAAAACTCTAAAGAACTCTTGTTCTGAATTAGAGAACCTCAGTAATGTAAAGATGTTAACTCTCCCTTAGTCTATAAAATCAGCGACCCCGATCGGAACACCACAGTTCTTTTTGGGGACTGGACCAAATTATTCTCGTGTTTACCTAGGAGAATAAAAACGTAAAAATGGCAGGAAACTGGAAGAGCAGAGGCACAAGAGGGATTGAACCCTGACATGCAAGTGTGTTGCCAACGGAGACAGCAGGGTGGACACGTGTCTCGCCGTCGCGGAATTGATGACGAAGGCACCAAGTGGAAGGGGTGGAGGAAAGATGGGGGAGAGACAGCCGACTGGACCGCTGAGAAAGCAACGCCGCCGCCTCGGTCCTTACTCCAGTTCTACAGGAACCAGAACACTGAACACAGTAAACCAGTAACGCTTTTTGTAGGTTGGGTGGAGGGAGCACCTTTTCACTCTGACAGACTCTAAGAGCCAGAAGAAAGAGACTGATGTGTCTGAACCGTTTACGGTACCAGCGCCAATGGCAAATTTCCGAAATGTACAAAAAGCTCTTGCACACAAAAAAGGTCCAAGTGCAAAATGAGCAAAGAACGTGACCAGCATTCACCGGAAAATAAACACCACTGGACTGTGAATAAGTAGCAAGACGCTCACCTCCCCACGCTAAGGTAAAGCTTCAGGGAAGGTGATTGGGACCAGTGGGGGCAGAAGTCAGTACTTGCCATTTTCATATAAATGGGAAAAGATTTAGCAAATTGGCAAGGATGAGGGGAGGGGATGGAGACATGTCCTGTTTATAGAGTCTTAGTGGAAATATGTATTGATGTAATCTTTACAAAAAACAACTGGACAATACTTACCAAAATCTTCATTCCAGTAAATTACCCAGTAGATACACCCTCACAAATGTGCAAGTACATAAATGAAAGAATGTTCATTGCAGCATCACTTGAAAGAGATAAAAACTGCAAATAACCCCAGTTATGTTCATTAAAGGGAGCTGGTTGTGTAATGGATGGGCCCCAGACAGCGGAACACAGGCTGCCGTGGAAGAGGCCACCCCTGTATGTGCAAACATGGGGCTCAGCCAAGCCCTGCGAGCAGCTGCCGGACTCCCCCTTCCATAATGTGACCCTAAAAGCATCAAACAGTGCGTGCACATCATTCCATATGCAGTTTTTAAGTCGCATGGTCATCACCTCTTAGTCTTAATACGCAAAAAGTGTGTATTAATATAAAAAACATGAACTCCCCAACTTAAATGCAAAATATGATGAAATGCAGTGTTTTTACTTATGCTAAAAATAAAAAGGACACTCTCAGTGCCTGGTGCAGGCCATGGGCCCTTCACTGGTAGTTAAAACCATCGGAGCTGTGGATGCGGTGACGAAGAAGGAGGGAGCTCGGGGCCCCAGCATCTCCCTGTACCGTCAGCCTTGAGCACATGACCTCTCTGTGCCTCAGTCCCTTCACCTGTAAAACACAGCTCATAAGAGGACCTACTTCAGAAACTGCTGTGAGCTGGAAGTCACCGTCGTCATTACTCTGGGCTCAGAATGATGTCTGACACAGAACGAGCAACTATCCACCCGCCCCTGCCCGTAGCTGGGTTCATGAGGTATTTTAAGTGGGGGACAAAGCAATGGAACCAGTCCAATAGCGTTTTGTAACAATTCTGTGGCAGTGCGATTATTCTAACTCTCCCTGCTCTATTGGGTACACGCACAGAAAGAGACCTCTCTGTAGTGCCTCAACAGAAGCCTGAAAGGCTGTGCCTCAAACCTGTAACCCCAGGGAGGGGGCTGGGAGACACGACCCTGGAGGCAAGAAAGCACTTCTGCTTTCGTCTTGTGTAACGTAAGACAACCTTGGCATTTCGCAAGCTCTGCGCAACCCTTGGAAGCTTAAGTTTAAGGGGATGTCGTGGCCGACATCAGAAGTGCTAATTCTTCAGCGTTCTGACTGGTAAGGTTCTGTGCAGGGGAAACTGCGTATCTGAACCTTCACCTCTGGGACAGACTCTGCCTTTTGTCTTCTTTCTCCATTCTCTCCTTCCAGGTCTGTTGCACGAGCCAGCCAGCAGCTCAGACTCTCCACGGCGGATGGTGGAAGCGTGTCTCCCTTTTCCTTCCTTGAAAGAGGCGTCGAGTACTCACCACCCTCCTGGCTGAGCTGTCAATCCATGAAAGCTCTGTAACATGTTCTGACTGCTTTTGACCCTGACCACTTCTCTTCCTGAACCACACATCTAATTCTTTTGCTCTGGCCCTAACACAGACATTCTCTGCCTTCTAGAAGGGCTTTTCCACAGACATGTTAAATACCTGGATGTTTTCTTCCCTCTAGAGAAACCTGATGTAAAGGTAAACTCGAGCAAGAAGAAAGCTGTCATTCCACAGATCATCATCACTAAAGCCTCACAAGAGGCTCTAACCAGCTACGGTTCCATCAGACATGAGGAGCAGAGAACCATTCAGGAGCAGGCTGAATGGGGCCCCTACTACCGACACGAAACCCTAGCACAGTAGACGCCTATGGTTTACGAGAATAAACAAGTGCCCCGAGGAGCTGCCGTTTTTCACTGTGCTGAGTCTCAGCGATGACGGCAGAAGGGCCACCTGCCCTGTGAGAAGCTGCAGCTGCCCCTTCGGGGAATGAGGTCCCCCAGTGACCACCTCGGGCTCACCTGCCCCAGAGCTCTGGCAGCTTGGCAGAGGGCAAGAGTGCCTCTGGCCCAGAGAGCGAACTCTGCGGCAACGAGCGAATCAGGAACCCTCTGGTGTCACTGCCGGTGCAGAGTGATGAACGAATGGCAGGCAGCATATCCCAGTCTCTTGCTGGGCAATTTAAAATCCTTCCCGTTCGGGGTGCCTGGGTGGCGCAGTCGGTTAAGCGTCCGACTTCAGCCAGGTCACGATCTCATGGTCCGTGAGTTCGAGCCCCGCGTCAGGCTCTGGGCTGATGGCTCAGAGCCTGGAGCCTGCTTCCCATTCTGTGTCTCCCTCTCTCTCTCTGCCCCTCCCCCGTTCATGCTCTGTCTCTCTCTGTCCCAAAAATAAATAAAAAACGTTGAAAAAAAAATTAAAAAAAAAAATCCTTCCCGTTCACTTCCAAAGGGGTGTGGCATAAGTACTCGGCAGTTACGGTGAACGGGACGTCCCCCACGCTTGGACAAAAGGTTGGACTCTGAGGACTCCACTTTAAGGTGTCACGTCCCAGAACAGGGACGTGCACAGTCACCCTGCGGGGCCCACGGGCTCCGAGCTTGACTGTAAGCTGATGCCGAGTATTAAAGGATCCAGAAGAAGAATGTGGAATTGGGGTGGGGGCACCCATGGCACGTAGAACTTGGGCAGTGGCCTTGCCAGAGCTGCCGTGGGACGGGGGGGGGGGGGAGGGGAGCTGACAACGTCCCCTCTTTCTGGCTGTGCATGAGGGGTCCCAACAGGAGGGGCTGTTCAGGGAAGCCCTGCTGGCGTTCCCTCACAACTGGCAGCTCACGGGTCAGGCTCCACTCTCCTCCAGAGTGGCTGGAGGGAACACCCTGCCCTGTCTGGTCCGACACATTTAGTCTCGTAACAGTATGTGTTTGTCTCCTTGGTTGCTAGAACGGTCAGCAGGCTTTACACTTGGTCTTTATGTCTCTATCAAAGATTTTATGTTTCAAGCAACCTCTACACCCAGTGTGGGGTTCAAACCCACAACCCCGAGATCAAGAATTGCACGCTTCACCTACTGAGCCAGCCAAGCACCCCTCTGTCCCTGTGTGTTGATGACATTGTTCAACAACACATTATTAACATCATTACTTGTATTCAATACGTTTACTTACGCATCCTGTCACAACTAAGTGTGTGTGCAGAAGAATCAAGCCCATGCAAATGTGGACTTGACCGCACTGGGTCAGCACACCTACCTTCTCCATAAAATTTCTAGTACCCAATAATTTCTATTTAAGGAGCGCCTGGGTGGCTCAGTCGGTCAAGCGTCCAACTTCGGCTCAGGTCATGATCTTGACGGTCTGTGGGTTCAGGCCCCACGTTCGGCTCGGTGCGGACAGCTCAGAGCCTGGAACCTGCTTCAGATTCTGTGCTTCCCTCTCTCACCGCACCCTCCCCACTTCCGCTCACACCGTTTCTCTCTCAAAAATAAACATTAAAAATTAAAAAAAAAAAATCTATTTGACCTAGAAATTGCCCTCTTCCTACCCCTGCCCTGAGAATCTCAAACAATCTAAAAACTATACCTACCAAGGCACTATTTCTAATTTCGTTATTAGCTAGAAGCTTAGCTTATGAATGATTAAAAAGGGGCTGGAATGAACTGAACATAATTAGTTTAAACTAAAACAAATGATTCTAAGTTATGATTAATTTCATGATTACCAAGTGTCCTTAGCCTATATTAATATTAGCATTTACAGTGTAGTCCCATGCACGGGAGGCCTTTCCTGGAGCCCTATTTAATGCTCCACCCCCGCGCCCGGCACGTCCCACTCACTGCCCTGCCTCAGTTTTCTCTTCACGCGTAACTCTCGGGCCATCTATTTACTTACCTCGTCTGGCTGCGTCCCACTAGAATGGAAGGTCCACGAGGGCAGAGCCTGACAGGGCCCAACACGTAGTGGGTGCTCCACACTCATGGGTCAGGGGACGTCCGTCGCGGCGTCCCATCCATTCTTGCCTTCCACAACCCTTCCGACGCGCCCTCCGCTCCCTGACCCCCGTAGGTCCAGCCCAAGCCCCTCCCGGCGTAGCTCCAGATCGGCCCTCGCGAACTCCAAGGGACTCCCCAGCTCCTCCCGCAGGCGTTCCTCAGCGCCCCAGCCGGCTCAGGTGCCCGCGCTTAAAACTAAAATAAGGCCCAAACCTCGGTGCTGCGAGGAGACAGCAGCAACCGACGTCCTCCAGGAGCCTTTGGGAGGCTTCCGGGGAAACCTTTGCTAAAGTGGGCGTGTCCCGGAAGGAGAACAAGCGCCAGCGCGCAAGGACCTCGTTTGCGCCTGCGCACACGGGGAGCCGGGCGCCGCGCTCGGCATGGGGGACCCGGAGTCAGAGCCTGAGCAGATCCGTTTGAAGTGTATCCGTAAGGACGGCTACTTCACGGTGCCTCCAGAACACAGGGTGCGACGGGGGGCCGCTCGCCGTAGCTCCGCCGGGGGCAGGGCGGGACCGAAACGCCCTGGAGCCCCTTAGTGTCGCCCTGAAGCGTTGAGGTTGCCGCCGCCGCGGGCGGGAACGACAGTCCCAGAGTTCCTCGCGGCCGGCGCGGAAACCGGCGGCGATGCTCCGGGGCCGAGGGCCTGGGCTGGTGGCGGACCGCGGGGCCAGTCGCGCTCCGCCGAGGGACGGGCGGGCTGTCAAGCAGCCGGCCTCCTCTGGAAGAACAGGCTCTGGGCTCTACCGCGGGCGTCCCTTCGTTTTGCGCCGGGGCCGGGCTTTGCAGGCTGACCCGGGAGCCCCTTGTGTCAGGGGGGAGTTGGCCCGTGGAAAGAGTTGGAGGCGTGGTCTCCCTTGGCTTTAAATGGATGTGGCCGGGCCCCGCCTGACACCCGGCAGCTTCCTTTTGTGTCTTGCTCTGTGCGAGGCTTCTGCGTGTGTTACTGTCATTTAGTCCTCTCGGCGACCCTTTATAAAGGTGAGGAAAGTGAAGCTTAGGGGTGTGGAGTGGTTTTACCAAGGGAGACGGCTCGTGCAGGTGCAGGTTTGAACCCTAGGGTTTTAACTACTTACTGGTGCTGAGAAGCCGGAAAGCGTCATTAGCACACTGGCGGAGTGCGCACCTAGGGCCACCTGGAGCAGTCGCTGGCCGTTACACATCACTCACACACACAGCAGGTGCGCGCAGCTTTCCGAGTACGGTGCAGGAGTGAGGGGAAACCTCTCGGAGGGGAGCTGGGACATACCCAGATGAGGACAGAGTACACAATAGTAGGTGCTTCAAGATATGAAAGTATCGGGATTTTAGGGGAAGAATTGTTTGCAGCTGGGGGAAATTTTTTGTAAAAGAAATTTGCGTGGAGGCGCCTGAGTGGCTCAGTCGGTTAAGCATGGGACTTTGGCTCAGATCATGATCTCATGGCTCATGTTCCAGAGCTGCCGCGGGCTCTATGCTGACAGCTCAGAGGCTGGAGCCGGCTTCGGATTCTGTGTCTCCCTCTCTCACTCTGCCTGTCCCCCACTCATGCTTAGTCTGTCTGTCTGTCTGTCTGTCTCTCTCTCTCCTTCAAAAATAAATAAACAGGAAAAAAAGAAAAAGAAATCTGTACAAAGGTGGCGTTTCTGCCAGGCTAGTAAGTGTGACTAGGATGTTGACATGCAGAGACAAAGAGGCCTGGCATGCCAGATTTAGAGAGTGGCAGACGCAACCTCACGGAGATAAGAGACACAGTGTGACTGGGAAGCACCAGGGCTTCCCCCAGGAGAGAGGATGTGAGAAAGCACTGGTGGGCAGAGGAGGCTGAGGTGAGATCATGGAAGGGCTCAGTCTGGGTGATTCTGACCTGGCTCCAGAGGTGGTGGGAAGGGAGGAGATGGAAGGCAAGGGCTGGGAAGAGAAGAGAGGCAGCAAGCCCAGAGAGAGACTGTTAGAGTTTGAAACTTGCCACATGTGCTTCCTGGACCCAAAGAGACATGCCCATTCGGTCCACCTACCAAAGGACTGCATTACAAAGGTGCATCAGGATACAGGCTCTCTGCTAGGACAGGAACCCCTAAATATAGTGGCTTAAGTACAGGACTTTCTTTCTCCCTCCCCTAACTTTCCGGAGAGAGCCAGCTGTTTTCCACGAGGTGGACCAGGCTCTCAAGCTGTCTGCCTTGTAGATCTACCTCCACGTCATTCAAACCCCACCCTGCTTCAGGAGCAAAAAGGAGTGGGTGGCAACCAACTTCCTTGGACCGGGAAGTCCCTTCCTTGAGGGCTTGGTCCTTTCTGCTCACATCCCATTGGCCAAAATTGAGTCAAATGGACAGACCTAGCTGCAAGGGAGGCTGAGAAATCCAGCTACCAACAGGTTGGCCTCACGCCACTGGACAGTGTTTCCTAACTAGAAAAAGTACAGCGTGGATGTTGGGGATGGCTCGTCTCTGCCACAGATGAGTTTCCACTGCGTTTGATAGAGGCTTTGTGAGGATCTAGGAGCTTTGTCCGTCTCCAAAGCATAATTTAGACCAATGCTGCTCGCTATTCCTCTTGTGATTGTGGAAATGTTGCTTTCTGACTCATCCAGTATGGTTACCGTGAGCCGCATAGCAGTGTGGAGCACGACACACATGGCAAGTGAGGAAATTAAATACTAATCTTAATTAATTTTAACCATCCATGGCCAGTGGTTATTGTTTCCAGGCAGCCTACATCTGGACCGTGGGATTGGAAGGGAACAGGCTCTCTGTGATGATGCATTCGAAGTGCCTGCTCACCCAGTAACATCGTCCCCCTTTTCTCACTTGAAAAGCCCAAGTGCGTGGTTGTCTTTCTGTTTGGTGAGCAAGACATGAGTGGGCTCCCTGGTACAAATTAAATGTGAAATGTCCACCTTTAGTTGTTCGTTAGCTGGCCAATCCCTGCACTGCCAGCACCTCTGTCTTTCAGTTGGGACGGTGCCGGAGTGTGAAGGAGTTTGAGAAGCTGAACCGCATCGGGGAAGGCACCTATGGCATTGTCTGTGAGTGGCCAAGATGGGAGGTCTGGGGTTCAGGGGACTGTCCCAGCAGTTGAGGAACTTAACACCCATTGCTCCACAGCCAGGGCAGAATTTCTACAAGTGAACTCGGATCTGTGGTGTATTTGCTATAAATTCCACACCATGTCTGAATAAATGTAATTTATTCAAATTGCATTTGCAACCCTGACCTGCAAGTTGGGGCAACTGTTACAGCAAAATGCAGAACTTCCAGAAGCAGCCGGGGCTGCAGCCTGTGGCAGCTGAGATGTTGGTATACCTTATACTAGTGGGGTTCGGAAGCTGCGCACTTTAGCACAGGGCTTTGAGGAGCCTCCTTGGCACAATATAAGGGATTTTTTTCCTGGATAAAGTATCTTATTTGCTGTTAGAACATAGTAACAACAGAGAGCAGAGCAGTGACCCGCATCCTGACTCTTAAGGAGAAACACTGAGGGGGAGCCTGTTGTAAGTAGCACCCTCTACCCAGGTTAGATGAGAGGACTCCCCCAGAGAGCCTGTGTCTGGTGGGGATGCGGGCGCTGCTTGCGTGGTGAGGACCTAGTGTCAATGGGCATCCAGTTATCAAAGAAGGGAAAGGGAACCCACAGGGTTCTGAACGAGGCCCCTGTGTGGCACAAGGGTGGGTGATGTGGGATCAAGCCTATTTGATCATTCCATCATGGATGAGTTTCCATTCCAGATAGGGCCCGGGACACCCAGACGGATGAGATTGTTGCCCTGAAGAAAGTGCGGATGGACAAAGAGAAGGACGGTGAGCTCAAAGTGGGAGGGGTAGAAAGGTGCCAGTTGCCCAAGGTTCCTTCTGGCCTGGGGTGGGGGGTAGCTGAGTTGCAGGTCTTG